GCTGCAATAAATCTGGTAAACAACTAATCGGGATTAAAGTTACAGCCAACACTTAGGCAAACTGCCGCCGTTTGACAAGAAAAACTTTACGACCACGGCAGGATTCGAACCTGCAATTTTCGGTTCCGTAGACCGACGCGTTGTCCATTGCGCCACGCGGCCTAACATCGTCGGGTCTACAAAGCATTTACTAAAATAATAATGGCTCGATATTACTATCTATGACAAATCGACTAAAGTTCACAATATTCCAAATGACTACCTCATCCTCAACGACGTCAGTTGACTGCTTAATAATTTAATCGGCAAAATACACAACCTTAGCAGGTTAATACTTAGCGTACAGTTTGGCCGCTAGTTTTTTAATTAGTTTTCACATCATTTATGGACTAGACCTTCCATCCAATGTTTTAAAAGCTGTTCTTGAACCAGTTTCGGCTGCGAAATCAAGCACACTTAGCTTGCCAACTTACAACACATTTAAACCTAGCTACAAACCTTTCGCTTTTCGCACAAACACTCGACAAATTGTTTAATGATATTTGAATTTCCTATTGAGAATTAAATAAAGTCATAGTACCATTTACTACGAGTAACAGCCATCTGGTTTTAATTTAAAGTTTTAAGTGTAATGATGCAGAATATAAAGAGAAAAAAGTGGCGGTAATCGTGTGACAGCATGGATTTAGGCGTTTCTTCCCTTGTTCAGTAAAACCCACTAATGAATTGTTACTTGCCACATGGACTTCCTGTGCTTAATTCTTGGATGATGTAAATGGAGTGATGTATACAAAGAGCAGTGCATAAAAATAACTTAATGTTATTTCCTTATTTCAGTTATAAGCAAAATTTGGTGTATACTTTTTCTTTAATTCCTTTCTTCAAAAAACAGCGACAGGATTTTAATCTTTTCCTGCCGGAGTTGGCTGAGCTCTGAACGCACCACATTTGACTTCTCGGCTTCACCTTGCATAAAGAGTTAAGCAAAGAAGGAACTTTACATAACTTTTGAAATACTAAGACAACGATATTAAGGGCTACAGTTCAAGATAAATGAGATTCGGAAGAGAATATCGTCCTTACTGACGCTTTGTAAGTTGTTTACACCAGTTCTTCACAAATTTTGCCTCCATAACAAATTTTCTACTACCTGTCAGAAATTTTTAACTTTTTGTTTTCTTAAAAAGAATTTTTCAGTAACTTTTCTTTGATCTATTTCGCTTCCTTACTTTTCGACCGTTTACGAACTATTGTGAACTTGAAGTTATTACGTAGCAGCTTTTATCATGTGAATAAAATCTTTTACGAGACCTTTGCAGTTTGAACACAAGGAGAACTAAACAACTGCAATCTTTTGCCTCACAGTAGACAGCCACTTTCAGCAGGTTTAAGGAAACATAATTTTGACCATCCTCTGTGGCTTAACCACCGTTCTAAAGCTCATAGCTCAAACTTATGAAATCAGTCATTTGAAGAATTTGCACGTCCGTTTTAATAGCTTTCAACGTTAACCACTAAGAACAGGTTCCCTCATATTATGCTCGAACTGCTAACCTTCGGATGTCCTAGTCACTTATAAGTAAAGCGTGAGGCCAAATGCATCAGCAGGATGACATTACATCTTCAATTTAATGTAATGGAACCCTCTAAACAAACAGTTGTAGCTCAATTTCTTAGCTGCAGCGAAATTTGCAAACTGCATCAAAGTCATAGCCGAAATTTAAGTTAACTGCTTACTGGTAAGAAAAACTCTCGACCACGGCAGGATTCGAACCTGCAATTTTCGGTTCCGTAGACCGACGCGTTGTCCATTGCGCCACGCGGCCGTCTCATCAGGTTTTGGAGGAGGTATTCAAAGTAACAATAGCGTCTTACCTTTGCTTACCTTAAACTTAAAAAATCTTGAAATGGTTCAAATAGCTACTTTGAGGCATCTCCTGAGACGTTAGTTGACTGCCTGATTAGTTTAGTTAACAAGACACCAAATGCGTAGGAGGCTCTCATTTAGCATCGAGCTGTGCTGCTTATTCTTTAGTTGAGTTTGTCATCTTTCCTGAACTAAATAGTTTTCAAAAATTATCCTGAAAGCTGTTCTTAATGAAATCTTGGCTGCAGAAGTGATATAAGCTCAAAAGACGCCAAAAATATTTTTGTGCAATCAACTACTCAACTATTTTTGTTATCACATCTGCAGTCTTATGTGAATGCTAGTTCTACTTCACCGCAAATTCCCTGAAAAGCCTCCCAAGAGTAGCTGTAGCAGTAGCCACAAATTGACAAAAACTGATAGCACCTTATAAGTGTCTTAGCTCTTTAGTGTTACTTATTGGAATGATGTTGATCTCGTAGTCTAGCACCACGTTTTTTGTTAACCGCGATTAATCTCGACAAAAACATAAGTTTTCGTCTCCAAGTTGTGACTAGTCATATATATAAATTATTTGGCTCAAAACAAAACCGTGATTCTGCTTGTGTTTAATAGCAAAATAGAAAAATTGTGTAAAATGTAAAAACATTCAAAAGATTTTTGTTCTAAGGAGAAAAAGTAGAAAAGCTTGAAAAAAACCTGGTATCAATGCATTAGAGCTGAGTACCCAAGGAATTGGGAGAAATCGTTATGTAATTAACAAAGAATCCTTAAATGCAAAAATTTGTCAGTTTTTCTGTCTGAAAGACAAATTTAAAAAATTTTTTCAGCTTAAATTTTTTATTCGCAAACTGCATATTCCTTCAAAATATTTTCTTTCAAGTATTTCTAGCAACGTCGTATTTGTCGAAAATAATGATACTGTTTGTATTTTAACGTCTTTTACTCTCAGTTTTGACAGGTTGCACAAATTAGCAATATAAAAACAGTCGAAATTCAAATTTTTGAGGCAGTCATATAAATTTGATTTTCTACAGCGGAAAAAACATTCAGCTAGCCACAAAACATAAAAACAACTTCACTACTTATACGTATAATAAGTTCTAATATAACTGTTGAATAGAAAAGATAAATACTAACAAAAACTGGTGTTTATCTGCATCTTTCTGGCTTAATTTTAAAATAACACCTTTAAGATTCATTTATGCTTTGGTACTAGATGTCAATGCAGTTTTTTAAAACTTTGTACAACAAAGACTGCAATAATTCACAACTAATATTATAAATAGTCTCTTAACAGCAGTGAAAAGAAATAGAAAAAGATCTGTAATGTAGACACAACGAAAAAGTTAGTTTGACGAAATTATAGAAAGTAGTCTTCTCTATTGCTTGAGCAGTACAGCTAAAATAATATTGAAAAATATGCAGCGGCAAGAGTTTTAGAAACTGATTTAATACACGCATCTGCAGGTGAAATTAAAAACACTTCTTACTCATTTGGAAATTGTATGCTTCACTCCAACCAGGTTTGATTTTGTCTAGAAGACTGACATGTACTTAAAAATGAGCTACAGTCACTAGCATTATTGCTAGATGCATGGCTGATTTGAAATAGAAGTTGGAAGATTAGTTACAACAAGAAGTATCAAGGAACTCTTTACATATTCAAATGTTTATGAAAATATTCTACATCACTTTAGTGACCTGAGCATCGTATTACTGAGGAGCGGTATGAGTGTACATTGCTCGTGCAGTTTCAGATGAAAAGCCAGATATGAACAGTCTGAAGGATCTTGTAGACGCACAGAGTAACAACCTCACTTGAAAAATCTGCAAAATTTTTAAATTGATATCTTTCTTAATTCACTTATGCTGTAGTATAGTAGCCTGACAATTATTGTTTCTAGCTGCTTCTTTTTTTTCTTTTACGTTTTTACCTGTAGTCTTAGTTTTACTTATATAAACAAGCTTTAACAATCTTATTCGCTTCATTTTACACTGATTAGATACTAGCGAAAATCTTGCTTTGATAAAGCATTTCAATTTGTTCCAGACATG